AGGTGACAAGAGACATTACTTCAGTTTAAGAATTACACTCCTTTCTCCTATAGCATAACAACTGGAGTATCCCTATATGCTGCAAGTTGTGCACTGTGATACTTAAGAAAACTGCAGTCATGATTTCTCCTAGCTCTTACATTTAAATTTTGAAGACTGGAAGCAGAAGAGCAGTTTCAGAGACAGGCACTGCTGTGAAACACCTTTCTCTTAGCTGTTCAAATAACCAGCACAAACCTTTAGGTCTTCAAGACACGCTGCAAGGTCCAGTTCCTCAGCTAGGTGGACAAGCTTTTTCCCCCTCTTGTGACATAGCAGAATATGTTTTATTATGCTGCAGAATATATCCAAAGGCCTGTTATTAGATTTTTAGTCACATTTCTAGCCATAGGATTGGTCATCGTAAGACCAGCACAAAATAGGACCAATCATAAGACCAGCACAAAAGACCACAAAGGGACAGTAAAGCCACGAAGTAATTTGTTTTAATTAAATTTTTAAAATACTAAAAAAAGGATTTCTGAATTTTATTTGACACTGCCTTTGTTGTAAACAAAGCAAAGCAAAATATCCCACAGAAGCAAATCACCTTAGCCCTGGATTCTCATTTTTTGTTAAAGGTCAGCTTCCTTCTTTGATACAGCAAATTTGTGAGGACACGCATATATGACAGAGGCTATGACAGTATCACAGGTCACACCTAAAAACATTCTCCTCACTCTCTGACACAAAGGAAGTAGGTTGCAAGTGTTTATAGGGCATATCTAGAAACCTCCAATCTCTTTGGATTTTTCCTTTAGTTTATACGTGTAACAGTCGAAGATCTCATTAAGCCTGTGATTTATGTATACATGTGCAAATTATAAACACTGTGTTCAAATCAGATATAGTTACTTGCAATGCTTCACTACTACAATAAAGCTTATTTTCAAGGCTTACTCCCCATAATAGCTTGGAATGTCCATACATACAGATGTATATCATTATGAAAAATAAAATTTCCAGGTAAAAGTGAATAGAAGAGATATGAATGATCACAAACACTTGTTTTTACAAGGTTAGAGATACACAAATCTAGAAATAAACATGTGGAACTGATTTTGCCTGTCAAAGTAGTTGATCAGGACTTCCTGAGGATGTGTAATACTTATGAATGTATAAACAGACTTATGTATATATGCTCAGTTTGTGTTCAGCAATCACATTAATTAGAAAGACAGACTTAGATTCCACTTGCTTTTAAGTTGCTTTGTCTTTTGTACTAAAGATAATAAGTTTCACAAAGCAAGCTAAAAATAGAACGAGGCCAACACAAAACAAAGCTAAAAATATACCGCATGCAAAACTAGCTTTTGCCATTTTCATAGAAAGGGCCAGCCTCCACTCTGCTCCAAAGCTGGTGGTTACAGATTTTAGGGATGGATTTGAAACCAGGACAATGGAGCCGTAATGAGAACCACGACATTCGGGGCAGCCTGGGCTTTCTGCAAAGCGGCGGTGCAGTGGGAGCACTATGAGCTGTGTCTCTCAGAAAACAACGAATTGTCAGAAAGGACATGGCTGAAAGAGGGTGACAAGAGATCTAAAGGGACAAACAAAGGAGTCAGTCAGTAAAAGAGAGAGAAGGGATTTTGACTAAAAAGCAACAGAGAATATTCTTACGGGCTCAGTACTTCAGGCTGTTGGTGGCATAAAGGTCATTCACACTTCAAGAGATTAAATATAGTTAATAAAAATAGCTAACCGTCAACATATAAAATTAATACATTTCCAACCACTTTATCCAGAAGGAAAAAACCTGCTTTAGTAACTCCTTTGTGTGGATTGTCAAATTAAAAGAGTGATTTTCAGCTAGCCCGAACACCACCTGTCTCGGCACTGCGTCAGCGGAGCTGCAGGCTTCCAAGCAGCAGCTCATTAGGTCCAAGTAGGGCAGTAAGCAGGCAACAAGTAGGACAAAGTAGATTTAGGAACTTTTATGGAATTCAGGCAATCTGACCATGGTCCAAAGAGCTTAAGGGTCTTTTCCTAGATCACACAATAGCACATTGGCAAACTGCTAACACCCTGGCTTCCAGCCAGAAGCACTGTCCTCCATCCAGCCGTGTAAGTGAACAGAAGAGGGAGTTCTCAACTGAAGGGATTTTTTCCTCAAGTTTCCAAGCTAGGCTTGATAGCTAAAACAATTGAAAACATTTACAATAAAATGAAAACAATACGTAATTGTATTGTTTTCCAGATATTCTGGTGCCAAAAAACCAGCTTTGGTCAGGAAACCACTTGTAAATTTGACAAGGAAGAAACAGAGATAAGTAGGACTGCTTACTTGCCAAGAGAGACTCCCTAAATTTAACTGTCCTGAACTTTGTGAAGGAAGAGGAGGCCTTCAGCCCAGTTCAGCCCCACACTAAACTAAAACCCAGTAAAGTCAAAGTGACACCTATGATATGGTGCATCACCACTCAAATCAAGAATTCATAATACAATGTAAGAGCCAGATATAGTTGATAATATAGCAATTGTAAGTCCAGGTAGATATGTATACCTAATGTATATATATACTGAATTATATTACTTCCAACGGTGACAATGCAAATGTCTCTGTTTGATGCCAATTAGGCGAGGAGCTCTTGGAAATCCTGGCTAGTATCTAATACTATCCTGAGCAAAGTGTGGATGCTCATGGCTTAACTCACGTGTACCACCAAGGTGTGGGAGTAAGCTATGAAATCCTCCAGGGCAGCTCATATCACAGCAATGGTTTCAACACCTCAACTACACAAACGAAACCCCCCAAAACACTAAACCCCGCCATGTTCTGCTGCATTTTTCTGAGTAATAAAACAAACAACAGGAAATAGAGTGGGGGAGCTGAGGTTTGATTGAAAGATCAGGCAGGCAAGAGGATTGCAGGATGGGATCTGATATGTACCGAGTCCCTATAAGAAAGGGGCTTCAGAGAAAGAGAGGCAAAGTCTTTGAAGTGGAAATGGTGGAAAGGTGAAGGGCATGTTGTCAAGAGGTGGAACAAAGGATGGATGAAGCAAGAACAGGAATTAGAGATTATGAGGGAACTATTTGAATGCTGTAAACAGCAGGGAGGGAAAAGAATTGTTTAGGGTGGTTCAATGATATTTCTAGGAGTGATGGGATGCAGATAAGCAAGTGGAAAATATAAGCTATTAAACAGGAAACATTTCCTGACAGTGAAGGCTAATGAACTGTGGAAAAGTCTCCTAAGGGAAGTGGCAGGAGCCACTCAGACAATTAAAACTAGACTAGACAACATACCTTAGGGCATAATCATACCTAAGACCACAGACAACTGGATGTGACAAGTATCTTTCCTTCTTGCTTCAGAAACAAAGCCATAAAGCCCAGGGGGAAAAAAGGACCATCATAATTGCAAGGTCGCTATACGTAGGGAGGAATCACACCTAACTCAAATAAAATACAAATGCAAATTTTCCCTATAAGTGACACAGGGTATGGCAGTTTGGTTCCTCCTGAGCAGTATCTACACAAAAGATCCTGTTGTCTAATGTTACATTACTGCCAACCAAAAAAAAAAAAAAAAACTAATTCACAATAAACATTAATCCATTGTTTGCTCAGGCACTCTGCAATGTTTAATTAGCTCATTGTTTAAGGTTTAACAGCTTTAAGGACCTTTTTCTTATGAATTGCTGAATTTATATCCTGTTCTACTTCACTGATACCATCCCACTTTCTAAACCACAACTGTGATAAGTACTTGATAGAAAAACAGTAATTCTTTGTTAGTTTGTTGACATTAGGAATTTTGCAAAAAGCTTGCAAAAATTAGATGCTGATTATTTGGTGCATGTTGCGTTCAACAGGCGAAGGAAAGAATACTCCTGAGTCCTGGATGTAAGACAGCAGCAGCCACCTGAGGGGTGGAATTTTTTTTTTATTTTAACTTCTTTAAACTTTTTTTCCCCATCATCTTGATGTGCAGGCTGAAAGATTTTTAGTGTACTCATATGTCAGTCTACTAAGATGTGATTGAATCACACAGAATCACAGATTTTTCAGAGTTGGAAGGGACCTCTAGAGATCATCTAGTCCAAACCCACATGCTTATTTGAGAGAACCTGCCAAACAGCTCTCAGATGGTAAAAAGTCAGTGGTTGCTTTGTTTGAGGAGTGTTGCACTCAGACCCAGCAATGAAAGGCTCCATAACCCACTTCCATTTCACTCCTCTGGTACAGAGACACTGTATCGGGACCACTGACACTATAATTTGGTGATATTTACCTTTACCCAGGGTTCCTGTGGTCGTCTTTGACTTTCATGGTTCTATGGTCATGGTCTAAAAGCTCCACAACCATGCACCCAATGAACAATGAACCTGCTGCACTTACTCCTAATTGTGAATCATATCGACCGTAAAATTTGATTTGCATTACAGTAATGCTTTGATGTCTAAATCATGATCACACTCCCATTGTGCAAGGTACTATACAAACCCAGAACAGTAGACTTTGTTCCAAGAATTTACTGTAAACAGACCGGAATACCTCAACCGACCTTGATTTCTCACTTGACAACTTTCCTCTCTGGTTTAGCTCACATCCCAAAGAGTTTGAGACCAAAGCTTTGCAGGTAACTATCCTCTCACACCACACAGATGCTACCACCTTTAAATATTTGTGTGCAGGTTATTCTTGCGGTGCAGCATTTTTTCTCCTGAAGGTTCATGCACATATTATAACCTGCAAAGGAAGACCACTCCCAGTCAGGGGGTGCCGGTGCAGCCATTATTAAAGCATATACAGACCACTGGGCTCGAGCAGTTGCCGAAAACAAGCGCGCAGTCATTCATCCATGCAAACACTAACACATACGAAACATAACCCAGCATTGTGAAGATTGGCTTACCCGGTATTTGCGAGGCATTTATTGATTAAAATATCGATTAAGGCACTTGGTGACATTCCGTGCTTGGAACTTCTGGTTCTGCTGTTTCCCAGCGGAGATGGGAAATCGCTCAGTGCTGCTGGGGGTCTGGCTGCTGGCTTGTGTACGCAGGCCTGAAAAAATGCAGCAATCAATTTTAGAAATGGCAGGTCCTAAAGCTAAGTTTTATGTATGTTTAGAAGAGTGTCAAAAAAACCCAAACCCTTGTCAAAACCAATTTTTTGATAATTACAAAATATTAACCAAACAGTGTAGAAATCACTAGTTCTTACAATATGAATGTCGCAATGTTGTTTACTGTTCTTCTCAATATGATCAAACATTTGCTTAACTAGAAAGCATCAACTTTATTTATAGTTTTCAGCATAAATTGAATTTTTGAGAGGTGAACTAAAACAGTGTCATTTTTTTCAAGATTATATTAATTGCCGCAAGCTCATCCAAGTCTCCATCTATTATTACAGCTAGCCCTATTTTACATCAAGCTTCTATTTATAGCTTCTAAATACTTAATAGATGGTATTGCTATGTTACTGATAGGAAGATAAAGGTGTTAAAAGCAGTTACGAGCCTCCCAGCAGATGTGTTTGTTATAAAAGGCCACAAATTATGGTAATTAGCAATCTAATGACAGGACTCCTCCATAATAATCCCTGAAAATTGATTATCCATTTATTACAATGTCTGTAATTTACTAAACATAGGCAAACAGAAACTACAGTATTAATCATGATTATAAGAGGTTTTGAATTGTTATTGATCAAAGTTAAATAGCCACAGAGACTATTTCTGATAAAGTCCATTTAAACTTCATTACTGTTATAAACAACCATTGAAGCATGCTGCGGTAAACAAAATCTTACTTTTCTGACTAGATCAACACATACTAAGTTAAATCAGCTCTCTTCCTCTGAACTTCACATTTCTTCTGACAATGAAAAAACAAGATTAAGACATTCTATTGAAAAACTTTTCAACCATCTGTGTCGAATCACAGCTGAGTTAGAATGAGGATCCTTCATTTCTTCTAGCAAATGAGATCCTTTATTTCTTAGAATTCCTTATTGCACCAAGTAATCTTTAAAATAGTTCCCGGAATGAAGTGAGATAAGCCATCTTGCATAAGTCAATTTACAAGTATATGAAAGGGTGGCAAGTACAGAACTGATAAAAGGAAGTTTGTTTTAATACTACATATATTCAGATGTGGAACTTTTGTCTGAAGAAGTTGCTGAAGCACTGATACACTCAAGACCAGGAGGAGATCTAGGGGGAGACAGAGCTGCCTACTGCAGGATTTTTATGCTCTCTTCTGTATTATTTGATATTAGAACCCAGCTAGACTTGCTGGATGGTGTGCTCCACACTTTACAGGCAAAGCACTCGCCTCTTGCCAGCCTCTGTTGTTTATATATTGAAGAGATTAAACATCTTACTGCAATAATATCAGGCAGACAAAACCAAGAAGCTGTTAAAACTGTGTGCCCAGTTATCACTCTCTGAGGATCCCAAGTTGCAAATCCATTTCACATCTGCTTTTTTGGGGGGGCAATTTGTACAGCTTTTCATTCATCTAATTTTCAATATCTGTTTTTTTTTTTCTAATTTTATTTTAGTTGGAGTCCATTGGTGCTATCAGTCACAGAAGGATGATCATCCACAGTGTAAAGGTACTGCAAAACAATTCATTTTTCCAATTACGTTAGTGTTTGGATTCTTCTGTTTTGCAAAAGATCTCTTATAGAAATACTGCAAAAATGCACACAACCTTGCATTTAATGCTGCATGATTATGTTATATACAAAGATAAGTGCTAAACAGGATACCTAAAGAAGGGCATTTTGAAGATACCACTGTTTGTTCTAACTCTTCATTTTGTTTTAACCAGGGATAATGCTAAAAATATAAAAAGAACTCTAAATGCGCTCCAGAGGTAATCATCCCAGCAAGATGGGTACAGACAGCTATTTAAATTCTTAAGGACAGTCATGAAAAGTCCTAATGTTTTACCTACAACCTCACCTTTTGTTTTATCAGCAGTATCCATCTAGGCTGCCTGCTCCCTTGCTCATCCCTGTGTCCTGCCCAGCCCTCCCAGGAACTGACTCTGCTTCTGACAGCACCAGCACCACCACCACCACCACCTTCTTTTGGTTTTTGTTATAGTTTCCAAGTTTTTATAGTTCAGCCAACCTCAGTGGTAGTTCACTTTCTATTTTACAGCCATTTACACGTGTATATTTTCCTATTAAGCTTAACAGAATATTCTTAACGCACATAATTATTTTTAAAACTAAAAAAAAAAAGGATATGCTAAGAAAGTTCCTGTATTAAATTCCAACATCCAAAGACATCTCCAATTTCCCACACAAGAATCTATCGACTGACTGGTGGTTTGGCTTTATCAAGGATTTGCAGTCTACAGAAAAAAAAAAATATTTTCTTCATCCTCAAATAGATCCTCGACAATGGTATTCAATGTATGCCACCTGCAAAGGAAACAAACAGTCACCTATCAATATTGTCACCAAAAACGTCATTCATGACAAAAGCCTTAAGCCTCTGAATTTTGAAGGATATGATGTGAAGGGATCTTCAAAATGGAACATAGAAAATAACGGACATTCAGGCAAGTACTATCAAATTATTACTGTTATGTTATTCGTGCCTTCACTTGGAACCATCCATTCACTTCTTCCATGTCCTCGGCAAGGTGTTACATATCACTACTGCTACTTAAAAGCAAGCAAGCAAAAACAAGATAGCACCCCTGTATTTCAGCAATAAAACTATCTGAACCAAAGTCTTCTGGGAACTTCATGGGATCCAACATTTTTGGATCCTGGACAAGTTCCTCGAGTGTCTCAGCAGAAATTGTTTCTGTGCATATGCAGTAAGAGAACTTGAGATGTCCAGGGAACCTTTAGGACTAGGAGGCAGGTGAGTATAGAGTTTTAAGACAATAGTTTTGGTAGGGGCATATAACTTCTGCTGAATGCTCCTATACCCTTAATTTCTGGTCTTGCCCTTTCTGACTCTTGCTTCTGCACAATGGAGAATTCTGCAGAAGAGCATCACAATCCTGGAAAGTCGTTCAACCAGTGGCTTGCAGTGTGTGTATCTTACTAGTTCTTTAAATAATAAGCTGAAATCTTCTCAGATTTCAACCTGTTTTCTCTGCACACAGAAGTAATCTAATGTGAGTTTGTTGATCTGCTACTTACTGACTCAGTAAACAGTGAATCAGTGAATAGTAATTTAGCACTGTTTCACTTCCTCCATTTTCTTCACTAAAAGCAATACTAATGATGATGCTTCAACCATATTATCCTAAATTACTTTAACTTTTTTTTTTTTTTTTAATTATCTATAGGTGCTCTTAAAATCTTAGGGATTGTTTTAACTGCCAAATCCCTAAAATGGAAAGTTGCAAGTGGCAAATATTTTCCTAATGGAAAGGTAGGAAGGTAGACATCTGGGTAGATTTTCACAGCCAGAGATTCTAGTTTAAAACATCAGTATTTTGACAGACCACAAGAAAAAGACGGTTTGACTCTTCACTAGTATATGGGTTAATGGACTTTCCCATTACAGAATGATATTCTAGAACCTCCATATTACAGTCGCTGTACACAGAAATATCTTTTACACAAAAATTAATATTCATAAGGATTGGTCAGAACTCTCATCTTTCCCAGGCATGCAAAAGGATTAGGTTTCTAATCTGGGCTTTTAAAATTTCTTCCTTCTGAGAGCAACCAGTTCCTGTGCTATGATGAGTACAACGCTGAAACTGTTATTGCTTAAATTACAGCTGCAATTAGAAGCTCTTAAGTGGGATTAAGCTATCATTATGTTTGATGATGTGCAGATAGCAAAGGTCGGTGTCTCAAAGGTCCTACAATCTAAATAAATAAAGCCAACAAAGATATGTTACTTATCCATTTACAGGTAAAAACGCAAAGTAACTAAATGACTCATGCAAGCTTCCAGTTCATTTGGAATTCAGAACAGAAGTGAAATCTCTGGGGCTTCAATCCAGATCAAAACAACCTTTCTTATGGAAAGAAAAGTACTGTGCTTAATGTAGAGGTTTTAATAAGTAAATTTTAAAAATATATCCCAAAAGTCTCAAGGACAGGAAGTGATGGTGATTTATAGCTAGAAAAATATTTCCTAAGAAAATTTTGTTTTGCTGTTAACAACAGATCAAGCATAGCATTAAATAGGCTTAAGTTTCAACACTGCTCTAAATTAAAACAGAATATCTTTAAACCTTGCCCAAAACAAATGTTACAATGCAGACAATAGGAGATAAAAACAATGCTTAAAGATCAAATGCACTGTGATCAAGTTTACTTTTAATAATACTTGACAGAAGGTGTTCTTGTAGACAAAAAATGAAGGAATATAGGGTCTTCTGAAAGGTATAAGTAGCTCTGGCTCCTGGGGTTATAATGGCATGAAAAAATCCATACAAACCCCCTCAGCGCAATCAAGGAAAGACAGTCTATTACCCTGTTTTCTTCATAACGCAATTAACTGGTGATACTCTGAAGGATATATCAGTGGATGCCATAAAAGCCTACAAAACCCTTATCCTGGAACAATCCAAAGTAGTGCCCTGACTTTTTCCTCCATTTTACAAAGGGAAACAGATTTATTTTATTTATTATTATTTATTTATCTGAAGTAATGGGTATGTTAGCTCTCCAGCAAGTGAGGCTCTACGCAAGTCATTCAAGTTCACAGAGCAAATCCTAGGTGGAAAAGGAAACCGAAGCTCCAAGTGCCGTGTCATAGTGGGATGTCAAAATGCTGTTGCATATTACTGGGAAGTGGGCAGTGGTATTTCTCCCTTTCATCTCAAATTAATCTCAGCTAGCATTTTGTAGGAATTCAGCTTCTGCAGAGTTAAACTGCTGGAATACTCAGTATGAAAAACCAAGGCAGAACTTTAGGATAAATTTGAATCTCAAGAACATGCATCTCTACTCTCAAATACTATTAATGTATGATCTGTTGGTTGTTTTTTTTTAAACTACTTATTTGTTCTCCTCAGTTAAAGTAACATTAAGCACATCCCCTAAAATTGGAGGTGGAGGTCTGGGAAGAAAATACAAGGCGATAGAATTTCATTTGCACTGGGGAGCCCAAGATGGGAAGCAATACCTTCCTGGGTCAGAGCACAGCATAGATGGAGAAAAACAAGCCATGGAGGTAGGTGAGACTCTCTGTCTACTATGGCTTTGATTCAAGAACTGTGGCTTTTTAAGATACTGTTGCACAAAACCTATTGGCTAGTTCTCCCACAAAACCCCAACAGTGGAAATAAAGATTGAAGGACATGTTGCTCGTTAACCAGAACACACAGGAAAACACACTAATTTGGCATAGCAAAGGCACAGGAGAGACAACAAATCTGGAGTTATATAGCCTTTTGGGAGGAGAAATAATTAAAAGTCTATACAGTCTGATTACACTCTCACACTGCTTACTCAGATTATGTATTCATTTCTGGGACTGCAACCATGAATTGGCCTATGCAACCAAAAAAAAATATCCTCTTCAAGGCAAGACAAGACACCAGTGCTGATACCCATGGGCTGGTGGAAGGAAACCACCTCTCTTTCAAATGATGATGTAAAAATCTGCCTGTTCCACTGCACAGGCTGAAAATTGAGGGCTGCAGCAGTCCACGGAGCGCTTCACCTTCTGGGGAGATGTATGAAATGATACCGGTTTTGATGAATGAAGTTTCAAATGATAGTCTGTTATTGCATGGTTCCTGCCTCAGGTCAAGGACCTCGGGCTGTCTGTCCCCAGCCTGCGAGCAGCAAAGCAGCTCTGGCCCCACTGCAGTGTAGGTGCAGAGAGGCCACCAGGCTACCCTTACAACAACGAACTGTAGAAGAAAATGAACAAATAATTTGCCTTGACTATTGTGTTACAGCTTCACATTGTCCACATAAGAGAAGATGTTTTGGATATAACAGAAGCAAAGACAAAAGGAGATGGTGTGGCTGTGTTAGCGTTCTTTATAAAGGTAGGTAGCCAAATTTTTAATTCCCCATCTCAAATCTACCAGACCCAAACCTCCCTGTCATCTGCAGGCATTCAGTGCCAGCACTTGGTTTCTTTACCCTTTTCTGTATTCTGCTTGCTGTTGTCTTTTAGCCTTGTGGTTCTTTTCTGTTTTATTCACAATTAATTTAAAGCAACAAGTTGCTGAGAAATGCGTGATTTGGAATCAAAATATTTGCATTTCAGGTTGAAGAAGAAAATAAAAACTATACAACTCTAATAAATGAATTAGAGAATCTTGAATACAAAGGTAAGACACCTGTGTTGGTCAAAACACAACATATAGGCCCAAAACTGAACACAGGACTCCAGATGCAGCCTCACCAGTGCTGATCACTTCCCTAGTCCTGCTGGCCACAGTTTCTGATACAAGCCAGGATGCTGTTGGCCACCTGGGCACACTGCTGGCTCATATTCAGCTGGCTGTCAACCCACACCCTCAGGTCCTTTTCCTCCAAGCAGCTTTCCAGCCACTCTTCCCCAAGCCTGTAGCATCCATGGGGTTGGTGTGACCCAAGTGCAGGACCCAGCACTTGGCCTTGTTGAACCTCGCACCATTGGCCTCAGCCCATCTATCCATCCTGTCCAGATCCTTCTGTAGGGCCATCCTACCCTCAACAAGATCCACGTTCTCGCCCAACTTGGTGCTTAGGGACATGGTTTAGTGGTGGCCTTGGCAGTGCCAGGTTTATGGTTGGACTTGGTGATCTTAAAGGTCTTTTCCAACCTAAACAATTCTATGATTCCATATATTTATTTTGAGCACATATACTACCATGTAGTTCATGGTCTAATCCTGTTCTAATTACGGCAGAGATTGTTGCTTGAAAGTCAAAGCCAAAAGATAAAGGTTAGTTTGTCGTGCACTCAGAGCACCACAGGTGGGACAAAATCTAGTTCTCCATATCTGTGGTGAAGAAACCCCCCAGAACCAGAATGAGTATTCCTGCTTCTGCAGGAGGAAGCAAAGTGAGAAAACATGCAGAGTGTTAACGGGAGAGGCGTGTGTAACCTGTGCTGTGTGGGACCCTGCAGTCGGCAGTCAGGGATCTCGCAAGCAGTGCAGTGCGGCTGCCCCAGGCGGCGTGGGGAGCGTGCGCGGGGATGAGGCTTTACACAGCCACGACCAGCAGCCGCATTTGAAGACAAATGTGAATATTACCTGCGGCCGCGCTCATTACAAGCAATATTTCCTCATGGCTTGTCTAGGACAAAGAGTACAGATAGACCCTCTGCCACTGAGTTCTCTTCTCCCACCTGAGGAAGAGCTTGGAAAGTACTATCGGTATGAGGGCTCCCTCACCACTCCCGACTGCCACGAGGGTGTCATCTGGACAGTATTTGAGAAGCCAATTGAACTCAGTTTTTCTCAGGTAAGTTGCAGAGGGAAAGCCTGAAAAGCTTGTTACGGTTATTTTGCCCCTTCAGCTTCCGGCTCACTCACACAATTTAGCACAGACTTGTTAGCTGCTCCACTGCTTTGTTCCTATGACACACACACTTGCTTGGCATTAGTCTAAATGTGTGCCAGTTTTTTGACCGTATTCAATCAACTCTCAAAAAATGGCAGGAAAGGGGAAGGAAGGGGAAATGACGATGCGAAAAGAAAGCCAAAATAACCCACAGGTAACACCTAGCTCAGTGCTTCGTAAGCAGCGCTTCCACTGTAGTCATCTGCTTACACCCAAATATCGCTGCCTTTCTCCTGTTGTCGTAAGTATTAGGATACCAAAACAGAATACTTAAAAATGCAAACTTTGAGACTATCAGCATCAGCTTTAAGCAACCCATTTTTGTCCTACAGAGAGGAACAGGGGACTGAATCATGACTGCCTCTAAAACACATATTGTTTAGCTGACAGAGTACACTGTTAAAAAATTCCGATATCCTGGAGTGGTCTCTCAGTAATACTACTAGCCAGCACAGCCTGGCCGAGAGCCACCGTCTGTATTTTAGTTCCTTACCTGCAGTGTACTCATGATGACTTCAGTCACACACACAAGTCAGCATACCACAGCACACAAGAGCGAGCATCTGCTTGCTCTGAGTCAGCTTCTTGTTGAAGCAGTAAGAAATTTGAAGTGAGGAAAGAAATCCTAGTCCTCTTACTTTGTGTCACTGTGACATGATGGACAAGGACAGGACTGTGTGCGTCAAGAGGACTGGTGTAACCAGGCCTTCGAGCTGGATAAAGCATTTGGCTCACACGGAAAGGAAGTCCCCATGATTTCAAAGGCTAAGAGAAGTCATCTGGTGGTGACCTCTGGCAGAAGCCTCCATCACGTTGTTTCCTGCAGCGTTTAATGCATCCATACAGTTCAAAACAACAATGCCACAGAGTAAGGCACTGCAGATTTATAACATCACAATTTCCAGTGTTCCATGGAAAAAGAATTTAACGATCTATTCTTTCTCCAATGTCTGTAGATTTCTCAATTCTCAACAGTTCGCTTCGATGGGGACAACTCAACTCACATGACTGAAAATTTCCGGCCTGTTCAGTTTCTGAATGAACGAAAGGTGTACTGGTCCAGTGCCAGCACCCTCCTGCCTACTGCTAAGGTTTTAATGTTGGTCCTGATGCTTACGTACATCCTGAGTTCTCTTTGCCAATGAACACTTCTCACCTCATTCAAGGTTCTCGGCTTTTTGGAGTTGGGTTTTTTTTTTGTTGTTGCTGTTTAGTTGGGTTTTTTTGTCAAGTATTATCTCTAACTACCAACTCATGAATCATATCTGAATACAGAATTTAACCTTCTCCTCCTCCAGACACTAACCAAGGACTTCTGTTGTTGCTCTTATGTAAAATGAAACCCATTGCACTAAATTGCAAGAATCCAAACAAACTGTAAGATAAAGCTATGAAGATTCAAATAAAATTTAAAAAAGCCCACTTAAAAAAACACATTAGGATGGATTATCTGCAAGCCTGTAGTTCTAACACAACACTGGAAGGACACTTTACAAGCTATACAGAGGACCTACAGGAGGAATCTGTTCTTAAGTGCCTATGAAGTGTTTAGCTTGGAATATGTTTACATTCAGCACTGCAAATCAGGAAGACAGTAATACATGGAGTAATTCTTACCATCCCTACATGAAGGTACAACACAGCAAAGAAAAAGTGCTCACATACAATTAAGCAACACCTGGATCATCACCCTATGTAGTGAAGGATATGTGACAAATTTCACCTGTACTAACACAATTCCCCCCCCCGCCCCGGCTTTTCCTTCAGAATATGTGAAGTTAATTTTTAGATCAAGATGCTGGATTCCTTTCATTTAATCTACTGATTTCTGGATTTCAGGTTTCTCTGTTAAGCCTATTTATTCAGCCTAGCACAGCATCTCTCTCTGGGATGCCCATGCCTGATATGATGTGCTAAAAAGAAAAAGGGAAGCTCAACCACCTGTATCAATTACACATCTGTGGGAATTCCCTCGCTTTGGAGGACTGCATTTGAAGCGTGAGACTTTGATGATCCTTTAGAGTTTTCATTTGCCGGATAAGATGGGACAGCTCCAGAAATTACTCTTTCCAGTATCACTTTTTAGAAGCTTTTAAATTTCAGTTTGAACATGTCAGTGTGAACATTTCCCTATGATTTCCATCCCCTCCTTTATTTTTGTGTAACAACATTCCTGTAAAATGTTCGCGTATGGTTAAGATTCATAGTTTTCCCAAGAAGATTGTGATTTGAACTGATTTCTTCAGATCCTACCCAATTACTTACAGAAAAGCTCAATATATTGGGAAATGGGATTTCCTTGTATTATTCCAGTTCTCTCTCTGAAGACAGACATAACAGTTTTCTTCGGCTATTGCCATATAACATGTTACAGCTTCTTTTAGAATTTTAGATTTTGACCGGACCTAAATAGGATTTCATATTAGCAGACCTGCATTTTTTTATTTAGGGCAATGTTTGCAGAGATGACTTTATGTTACAGCTATATGGCTTTTTTCAGAAAAATCATGGCAGTGAGACTAACCACAACTCACTAAAGGAGAAAAAACAGGGTGAAAATTATTTTCATACTTAACAACTAGTAATATAAGCTTAAAAAACCCACATGGGAATACAAATTCACCTTTTTAAATTTAGAGAAGTGATTAAGACTTTAACTGTATTTTCAGCTAACTGAAAAACTTTTGAAAAGCAAACATTAAGCAAAGATTAAAGTTTAACAGTGTCCTATATTTTCATTGCCTTGAGTTTTTATTTCTTTTGTCCTTGCTGAAAGAAAATCCACATAACACTCATTCAGAAAAGGAATGTGACTTTTTTCCCCCTATTTTCTTCAAAAGATTTAGGGTTGGGATTGCATTTTTAGGGGGTGGGTGGAGGGATATGCAGTACATTGGGACATTTCTGATGTCAGCAGGCCTCTGGAGCTCTTACTTCACATGGGCCATCAGGATGTTACCTGCACACAGCAAAATTGCTTTGAGCACAGCACCTCGCTCAGCAGAGCTGGTGCACAGACTCAGCCCATCGGGTAGAGGACAGGCCGATTTCTTACAATGAAGGAAAAGGTACCATGGATTTACCCAGTGTAACTTCACCTCTGTACAAACACTCGGCTAGTTAGTTAACCAGGATAACTGTTGCCTACTTACCCATCTGTTGAACGTATGTGTTAGCTGTAGCCATTACATCCTTCAACATCCTGCAAGAAGAGAATGCATCACAAAATTAAGAGGAAAGACGCTTTGTTTTCAGGCTATTTTACAAGATGTAATAAATGGAAGTATTCTGAAAGGCTGATGTTTTAATGTTCTTTCAAGATTTACAAGCAACATAATAAGCAGCACAATCACATACAAAAGTCCTTTAGGCCTGGAAGCTCCTGTTTTAAAGACTAGAGATGTCAATAATCCTCGAGGTGTCTCCACTGAGAACAATGCCTTTTGCATGAAATAAGCCCACTGCATCTGCTGGGAATATGTGTAAGAGCACACCAACCCTCTCCATTCAGATTATTTACTAAATTCATGAGGTGATTCTTGTTTCATTGGCAGCTCTTTTACGGATGATTGGAAGAAACTATGCAGGATCTGGGTCAACTGCCATTTACTGCATGTGATAAATGATAAATCACAGGGACAACTTTTCACTAGGTTGTGCCTCAGTTTACCATGTGGATAGTGAGGAGCATTTACAGCAATTAGTTACTATGTAGGAGGATCTTATTTACTAGGAAATGTATTTAAACATAAGTAAGAAGAAGAAACAAAAAATCTCCTGAAAATATTTCCAAGTCCTCTGTAAGTACTCTTCTGCACAACCCTCTGCATGAATAAAATCTGCATAGACAAGTATGACCATTTTTACTGAGTGAATCTCAATTTTATGTCACCGAGGAAAAGGGAAATTCTACAATATGCATTTGTGTCAATGATCTAGTTCAATTTGGTCTTTGTCAGAGGCACCTCTTTGCAACTAGGCAGACACACTCTCTTTTGGTGCAGGACGTGACAATTCCAGGACTAGTATCAATGTAGTAAATCAATACAAATCTACAGCAAAAGCTATTCGATGAAAAAAACAGTAAAAGACAGGAAGGCTTGAAGTGGGACATTTGGTTTTCTTTTGTGAAGACAGTTATGGAAAAGTAATTTGCTGTTCCACAGGTAGCTTCAGGCGCAGATTTTCAAGAATTGTGTCTACGCTACGTTTGGCACAAAACGTCTTATATTGCGAAGACACTGAGAAACGACAGTAACTCCTGAAGAACTACTGGCCAAGTTGTGATAATACAGGAAAGGGCGGGGGGAGGAACAGAGGTATTTAGAAAGACCCAGAAAGAACAGTATTTTCCCACGTACAGAAAAGTTAGCCCAGAACTTTGCTAATAAGTTTCACATATGTTGGAGCCAGAGTTGAAGACTACTTAGCTTCTGTGACTGAAAACTGGAGTACAACAGACAACGAAACAACACTGGAAACTAAAATTCACTAGAGATGTACGGTTTAGGTTTAAAACAAAAACGACCAGCAGAGGCTTTGTCAGTCTGAATCAAGTCAGAGGTAGACTAGCATTTGGATGGCAGAAAACCAGACATATGAACTGATCGTGTTCAAGAGTGCAAAGACCAAAACATTCTGGCAGATTACCAAAGTTTGGACGTGGCTTTGCTTATAAGAACTCTGTCCTTTGGAAGCAGCTTGCATTTCGGTTTAGGGTTCACCTGTAATGGCTGTCACAGTAGAATCTGTTCACCATAAGCCTGAACAGCAACTAGGGACTCACCAGGCTTCAGCAGATCCTCCCCGTTTCTAAAAACATACCAAGCTGAGATTACATGCCGTTGTATAATGCATCCAAAAAGCAATCCTTTTGCAGTTTTGGATTGGAGCTTGATTTGAGTGCAAGCCTTCAGGGGTCTGAGGGGTGAAGGTGCAGATCTGCCATATGAACAGAAGCCCAGCTTCACTCCTACCACAACGATCTGACAACCAGCAGGGGAAGGGGGGAGACACGACAGGAGGGACACACACAAAAAGAATTTCTAATACAATACGTTTTCAGCAAAACATTTTCACAGGAAGCAGAAAGAGACAAGGAAACCTAGCCATTACTCACAAGAAATATTTACATTATCCAAAAAGTATTTCAAGAAACTTGCCAGCTTTGTTGTATGGTCAGCTCCTCTTGCTGGCAAACTAAGCTCAAAATGTAATTTTTTTCTGTACAGAATTCTTTTTCCATGACTGCTTGGAGAAAAGGATACAGCTTTTTGCCTTTTCCTTTCCTCCCTTGCCCATCTAGAAGTGGATTTCACATGGAAGACAACATTTGCCAGCACAACCAGCAGCCCTCCTGTTAAACAGATGTCATATAGCAAATCCACGTAAAATACCCTCCATCCATCTGGAGTCAAAAAAGGATACAGAGAAGCCTACCTAGCTTCCCAGGCTGGTTTTGAAATTTAATAAATGTGTTAGTATCAGGTGTAATGTCAATCACCTCTGATCCAGCGACAGGGGAGCTGCACCTTGCACAGGAGATAACACTCCACGACAAAAATGACGGTTGGACTCTGTGATCCAACCTAAATGATTCTATGATCCTATAAATGATTCTGTGAAAAATGATTACGCGTAGAGATGTGAGGGTCTCTTCAACAGAGTTAAAAGTGGATGTGGTGATTTTCTTCCAATAAGCACTATAAATAACATGGGATTTAGAGAGGTTTCAATGACAGAGAAAAATGTCATGGTAGCTCTGTGCAGCCAGACGTGGCTATGGAAAATGCTTCATACAGGGGAAAAACATTTATAAATGAAGGAAAAAAAAAAAAAGGAAGTGTAGGATTTACTTGTAAATTAATGTGTATCTGTGGAAAAGCCAATAAAACTCTAGCTGAGATACACTGTAGACATACACATGAGGAAATCGAGCCTGGCAGCCTCCCGCCACACTGCCCAGCCTGACGGGCTGCTCCCCACAGACACCGCGCACGATCTGTCATGGAGCAGTGTCACTTGTGGAAACGTACCCTAAGAAGCATCCGAAAAACACTTCGCGCGTATACTGCATCTCTCACTTGCTGCTTATGGAGGCTTTTGATAGCGTCTGTTTCAACAAAGGAGATGAACCCATGAGGAC